AAAGGAATCCTCGGCCACTCAACGCAGCCAAACAAATCACAATGTCACCGTCACGTGTGTACGAACTTTAACAACGCGCCAAGTATTACCGCTTCAGCTCAATCCTCTTAACCAAGTTTAGCGATTAGGTGGAGGGCTCCTAATGATACAGATTTGGCCCCGATCGTTACGTGGCCTTTACAAAAAAAAATCTATCACGAATCATAATATTGGCTGCGATAGTGTAAGCGCTGAGGAGAAGACAATGTTCGTATTTTGGTCACGTGGTGTTCAGCCTGCGAGTCCGCAGAATGCTTCTTACGGCACAGATCGACAAAGAGAACGGGCGGTGATAACGACGGGAATGGATTGATGACATGAAGGAATGGGGCCTTCTCAAAACAGAGGAATTCCCCAGGAGAACGGAGCAAGGACGAGATGGGAATCCATGGCGGTCAAACCTTACGACTAAGAGACGGAACGATTGATCACTTCATTGATTGCCCAACACGCGCGTCCGTGCCTCCACGCGCACGGACGCGCGCGCATGCAGGCATGAGAGGCACCGGGTTTTGAGAGAGAAACTTTGAAGGAGAGTTTTAACGCGAGGGTTATTTTAAATCCTGCCATTACACGCTAATTGCCACAGAAACACCGATGGTGTATTAACAGAGCTTGTTTTTCTCTCCTCTAATAGGAGTGATTGCGTCTAATTTTGATATCTAAATTTAAATGCTTTATCCATGCCTAATTCACACGCACGCACACACACACTCTCTCTCTCGAGACGGTGGTGCGGATTTTAATTTGCAACACGATTGATGGTCTTGCTGTCAGTTGTTTCTGCGGCGGGATATGAATTCCCAATCTGTAGAAGCAGATGCTCATTATAGACCCAATGTTGTCGGTCATTATGACAGCCTGTCCTCTTTTCCTCTGCTGTACACAGACTGACGAAGCCCTAATGCCACGTTCTCACGGACACTGGAAGCGCGCGGGCTCGGCGTGAACCGAGTGGGATTGACCCGGCATCCCAACGGGAGCCTTGCCACGCGAGGACGGAACAAGCCGGAGCACGCGCTGTTCGCTCTGCGCGGGCTGCGGTTTGTGGCCGGAGCCGCATTATCTCACCCTGGACACGCTCGGGCCCAGTCGCGGCACCGTGGGGTCAATGGGAATGGGAGATTTTTTTTTTTTACCGTCAATTGCGCCCCTTGCTTCGGTCAAAAAATACAAAGACAAAGTACAGCCTGGCACCGGAACGACTGGGATGAGGAGTGCGGGGGCGGTAACGGGGACCGTGGAGCCCCCCGGCTCTCGACGCGTCGGGTCCGGGTCCACGCCTTGCTGGGCTGGCCCAACACGGCCTTGGCCGACTTCCCGGTAATTGTGGTAACGCGGCATCAGTCGCTTGCTCCTGGCCGCCCCGTCAACGCGTTGCCCGCGAGCAGGTGGCCGTACACGGGAGTCCACCTGCCTCCTCCCACCGTACGCGAAGCCGCCTGTCAGCTCGTTACAGACGGAGCGCCCACTCGGCTCATTTCCCCGATAGTCACTCAACGCTGAGCCGCCTCCGCGCGACGAGACGCCCCGTGAAGCCACGTGCCGGCCGACGCGCGTGAGCCGGCCGCCGCCGCAGCCACCTCGGTCGCTGCCATCGACCACTGCGGCCGCGTTTACAGGCACCGGCTTCGACGCGCTAACGAGACCCGACAAAGCGCTTCCCGGGATCATTGTTGCGACGAGGTTGTGGCAAGGAAGACGCATGGTCGTATCGTCAGGCACATTCGCAGGCGAGCCGCGACGTCAACGAACCGTCAAGCGTCAGCCCCTTCCAGATTGCAGCGATGTTGTTGCGCTCTGTTGAACACAATGGAGAACCGGCGATAGGACCCGCACGGGGAAATGCGATTCGTGAGCTGTACTCGGGATCGCGGAGAGACGCTCGGGGAGAGGAGAGCGGCCGGCGCGTCGAGATGCCAGGAATGTCTGCGCTCGCGATCTGAAGGGGGGCTGCGTGCGTGCGAGCTCCTAAACCGGGCGTTGCTTCGCCGGGCGGGCAGCGTCGCGCTCGGAGCTCACTTGGCAGTTTCATTATCCAAAGGCAAACAAATGCAGGCTGCCAGCTGCTTCCCGTCAGTTGTGCTGCGCTCAGCAGACTGGGTCCCTGGGTACGTTGCCGGGGGGGGGGGGGGTGCGGGCAGGGCACGCGCAGGCAGCGGCGCACCTGCGAGTTAAGGCGTCGCGGCGGTTCTGCGCGCACATTGGGAATTGTGATGCCGTCAAAGAAAAGATGAAAAAAATCCAATCGTGGCCAAAATGTCACGAGCGCCATGCGTTTTGTCTGCACTGGACGACCGTCGCCTGTGGCGTGGTTGGTTGTACTGTACGCCACGGTGTAACGGGCGAAGGCGTCCAACCTGTCCGTTCTGAGCTAACGAGCGGAGGTTCGCTCGGGCGCTAACGAACGGACGGTCGGCTCAGCGAACCCGGGCCCCGAGCTCCTAGTTGCCTTGGGGGGGAAACAGCATGGACAAAGTATTCTCAACAAAAGCAAACAACAGCAAAAACAACAACAACAATGCATGCTTGGAAGGAGGGGACGGTGAGCATGCAAAGGGTGTACTCAGAGAAGTGTCGGAGAGCAACCAGAGGGGCTGCCAATTAAAACCACTGCACGCACACACGGCAGGGCCTCTGGGGAGAAAGCACCCCCCCCCGGGGGCGGGGTGATGGGGGGCGCCGGTCAGTGCTTTGACAATTTTGGATCATGCATGCACAAGCATTTCATGGACACTTTGGTGCTTCATGCGCAGTCTCAGAGGACGGGAGAGGACGACTGAACCAGACAATGGATACGCTCTGCGTGCTGCGCACATAAGTACACACATCTATATGCGGCCGACGCCAAAATGGGAATTCGATTAACGCGTATTGTATGTACGTATGTGCGCAGTACATCTTTTTTTTGCACAACGTACGCACGCGTGAAGCATTGCAGTGTTTAAGACATTCCGGATTGTTTTTGTTGTTGCAAAATTGTGCGACCGCCAAAACGGGTCTGCATTGCGTTCCCTCGGAGATTTTCTGAAAATGTCTCGTGATCGCCCAGATTGAAATTCCCATCCAAAGTAACTGGTTCATGAGCAGAGAAAGGAGAGCGCTTTATGGGCAAAGTGGCAGAGGAGGAGGCAGAGGAGGAGAAGGCAGAGGAGGACGTAGACGAAGGAGAAAGAAAGAGCAGAGGAAGAAGGGGTGATGGGGATGAAGTGAGGTTGGATAGGAAGATCAGAAGATGCTGCCCGACATCGTATACTATGCTCTACCCAGCATGCTCTGCTCTCCCATAATTTCCTGCCCTACCCAGCATGCCCGTGCGCTGCTCCACACGCCTGCTCCACTCCTGCTTCCACGCAGAGCCAAAGATCACAGGTTGTTGGCTCGTCATCTAAGCACTGCGGCGACTCCTGCCCAACGATATCCACGTGGAAGCGATACTACGGAACGCTCATATTTTACTGCGGGCTCAGTGTTTATTTTCTACCTTGTACGTGTTCGTCTCTCCCTCTGTTTCCTGCAAGTACATTGCCATCCCGTGGCACATGCCTGGCCACGTCCTCAACGCCCACTGGCGAGGATTTGGCGCAATTACCAGTTCAGCATGTGATGCTCGTTTTGAAATTTGACGATTGGTGGCGTTTCGCGTCCACCGAAGTTGTTATTCGATCGATGACGCGACGCGCTTTGGTGTTATTTTTGCTCTCGGGCTCGACGTCTCTCCTCAGCGCCGTCTGTGCGCCGTCGTTTTGCAGCATTGCCACCATCGGGACGCTGTCATTGGAGTTTCTCATCTGTGGTGAGTTTAGCTTGGGGATTTTTTTTTATTCTGACCCGATTTTAATCTTGTCGGAAGTTTAATGCTGACTCGACTCTGCGTGGGCCTAAGTTCTCAGGCTTTGTGGAAGTTCAGCGTTTTGGGCAGCGGTTTGCATTAATAATGCTGCGTGGAAGTAATCGATCGTCGTTCGGGGCTCAGGCCGGCGGGAGCGTTCAAGGGTTGGAGCGCCACGCAGACTGCGCGCGGTGTGACGCCCGTCACGTGATCGATGACCATCGTGGCGTCCGTGCGGCGGGGAGACGCTGCGCCAACATAATCGGGTAGAGTCGGGCACATTCATGGGAAATGTGAATTGGAAAATGCCTAATTTGCAAAATGTTTAATCAACATTCACGTATTGAATTGCAATTAATGTTTCAACGTGACAAATGTTCCGTGCTGTCAAGTGACTGGGGTATAAGCTATAATTTAATTTGAGGCTGCCTTTTCCGAAATGCAATTTCGCGTCATTGAAGATGAAAATGCCAAATGCAAAACAAAACAAAAATCTCATTTGAATGCCAACTTTCCCGATGCCCCTTTCTGTCAATCCAGCCACAGTCCGGTGTTTTTTTTTCAAAGTGGGGCCCAAACCACAAAATGATTTTTTAAAAATATTTGCTGAAAGTCAAACAATAAAAATCTAAACTTAACTTGAATCAGGTTCAAGGCCAAGGGCTCCCTTGGCGTACTCTTCCCCTGGGACTCTGGGGGTGATGATTTGTCCTCAATTGACCCCAGACTTGCGTTGCCCCACCTACATCCTCGTGTGTTTGATTGAAATTGTATTATCGTTTCATATGAACCGCTTGATTCTATTTGACTCCCTTCATCGCCTGTAGCCGCGCGTATTTGCAGTTGCCTTGAAATTACTTGAGCTTTCTACGGCATCGTGAGATACTTCCCCTATATTATTATTTACGTGACAAAGCGTACCCTGGCCCGCGAATTCCCAGGGGCGAGGGAGAGAGGGCAGAAGGGGGGTCGGGGGATATGAAAGAAGGGAAGAGACAGAGAGAGAGAGAGCAAAGGCAGAGAACAGCCGCCCCCTCCACGAGCATCCACCACGCGACGACGGGTGAGAGAGAGGGAGCAGTGAGCATGCAGACACCAAAATTGTCAAAATTATCAGCCTGCTGAATACCTTTGGTTGAATTGCTCCAACGGTTACCTTCAGAGTGGTGCGACAGTGTCAGTAGGTTGACACAAGACGCACCAGCGCCCGACCCAAACACAGTGATTCTGAGCGGGTCACCCCCGAAGATGCCTATATTCTCACTGATCCAGCGCAGGGCCTGGATTTGATCCAGAAGACCGTAATTCCCTTTAGCTGCCTGATCACCTGTGCTTAGGAACCCTGCAAAGACAAACACACAGACACATGCCCGGTTAGAACACAGGCATCGCTTCGGGCGGTTTTTACTGCTTTCAAAAAACACACATCTGTGCAAAGCATTTAACTGGCCCATCCAGAAACCATTCACATTAATATTAAACCGTGCAACCCACAGAGGCAGTCTCCTCGTGTAGCGCGCTGTGGCCACGTGTAGCGGTGGTTTGTCATGAATCAAGAGCCACGTTCATCGCCTCCAGCTTTTCGCCAAAAATCAATTAAAAGCACAAATCCCGTGTGCATTGCGATACACGGAGGGCGAGCATGAGCGGAGATTACACGCGCACGAAGACAATGATGCCGGGAGACTTTCGGGGCAAGTTCAGTCAGCGAGCACCAATTAAATTTGTAACGGCTCACAAGTGCATGGTATTGGCCAGCACTGTACCGGGCCGCCTTTGTCTCCCCAGCGCTGACGCTTACACATCGCATTTATTCGAAGCCTGGGACCGGTTCTGACACCACTCGCCACTGATGTGAGCCGTGGCTGGGAATCAAACGCAGGTCCCCGGGTTCGTAAGTAAAGTGCCGCCGGCCACTCTGTCAAAACTCCCCACAATAAACCTGCACACGCATGACGCACACACGCAGACACACGAGCCGCACATCGTGAACGTTATGGGAAGGGACCGTGGTAGCGTGGCCCCTACCGTGGGTGGCTCTGACTGCTGATGAGACACTGTGTGTTGAAACCGCTCCAGAGTTTTACTTGTGCTGAATCAGTGTTGTTGAAATGATGCGCTCTCAGAAGGCTGTGGGACCGATGAGTTGTGTAGGGAATTATTTGATTTTTGATGTGGAGATACCGATACGTGAATGAGAGGTATCGTCTGCGTGTCTACTTAATGACTCACTGCTAAAGGTTCTGACCTCTATAGCGGCGTTCGCTAATCTCATTTAGCGAAACACGGCACTCAGCAGCCCCGGGGATTGAGCAACATGCTTTTAAGAAACGGCAAACGGTAAGAATCAGCAACGCAGACGCATTCCTATCCTTGTTTTACAGTTACCCTCACTTGGGCACCTCTGTGTGGAGTTTGGATGTTCTCCGCCTTTTCTGCATGGGTTTCGTTCTGGGTTCTCCGGTCTCGTTCCATAGATAAAAAAAAATCAATCTCACAATGTGCCTCGTATTGGCCAAAATATCGAAAACCTGAAAGATTTCGTGCAAAGTACTCAATTGGGGATCACACAAGAGCACCAGCAGCAACATCGCCCACCTTATTGTGAACAACTTGGCAGGACCCTCCTGAAAAGGAGCCTTAAGACTCGGCGAGGGCTTCCCTGGGAAAACTACAGCGGAACGTAGCGCTACATTCGGCGCGGCTGAGCCTGGTGCTTGGCGTGAAGACGCGCCCTGTTTGTCACGAATCTACTGCACGGCGGGGACACCGCGCCCCGTTGTGGTCTCTGGAATGTCGCCCTCTCGGAGCTCACTGCGGAGGCGCTGCCCTCCGCCTGAGGAGCGGCCGTCTCATAAAAGAAACGCGACCGAGTTCTCCCACGGCAATCAATGGGCTTCGTTACCGACCCTCCGGAGCGCTCGCTCACTCGCTCCCTTTGGTGTGCCAGTCAGCAACTTACGCGCGGGCCTTCGTCGATTCTCTATCGCCGGAGCTGAGCCCGACTGAATCAAGAACACACGCCAATTTTGTGCAGCTATCAGCGGCTAGACCAGGGCCATCAGACTTGGCGAGCACGGGGGGGGGGGGGGGGGAGGGAGCGGTGGGGACTCTCTCCCGAGCCAGAAGGCAGCATTCATCCATCACCCGTATGCCGGGGGCCACGGGGTGCTGAGCGGGGCACAGGCCCCCTTCGCCCTTCCCAGCATCGCGCCGACCGCTGTCGTGCGCTTTCTCGGCAGCCGCGACGGCCGCAACTGCGAACCCGTGGAGCCGCGCGCCGTCACCCGACCAGGCGAATTGGATTGGGGGCGGTGGCGGCCGCCGAGAGTCGTTAGGAATGACCGGGGGAGGCCTGGGGTTTCGTGGGGGGTCGTCCGGGCGGTGGGAGAACTTGTCTCCGGGACGCTCTCTCCGAGTTGATGGTTTCAATGCTGGCGAGCGCTCGGTAGCTTCCAAAAAGCGTGCGTTTTGCGGGGAAGTGAACCGTTGAGATTCCCGTTACAAAAGTAGGTCGCTGTGTTCAGTGTCGAGTCAGGGCCCCAATCCCACATTTTTAAATTACGTGCAACTCTCTCTCTCTCTGTCTCTCTCTCTCAAGTTGTCTGTCCAAATGGCTGGGTCGTGGGCTCAAGCTCTTGAGCCGTGACGTGAAAAGGATATTCGTTTTGGTTTCCACTTTCCTTCCTCGGCAGCGACAGCATCGCCACCAGCAGGTTAATATCACACCCGGTACGCACACGCACCATCACTGAACGATAGATCATTGCCTATAGAACATTCATACGTGGCTCTACACCACTGCGAATCCCCTGGTCCCCTTGCACTAGAGATCAGGAATCTCAAGGGCTCCTATTTGATTAAACCCAGGCCTCGACTCGTCCATCCCTCTCGATGGAACGCGTCTTCCCTCGAATGACCCCATCTGCCCACCCTGTTATGCCGCACACGCACACACAAGGACAAAGATCTCCCCGGCAACTTGGCAATACTTTTTTTGGGCAAGCGCTGTTAGCGAGCACCTATGAGGGCCAGCACGGCACACGAGGGAGTCAGTGTGGCCAGAACCACGCCCGGTCGTCTTTGTTTTCCCAGTCGTGATGTATACACACTGTGCTAGGTACTAATTTAAGGCTGAGTCGACCTAGGCGAGACCCGTGATCGGTTCACATACTCATCACATATTGGCAACGAGTGGGAATCGTACTCGGGTCGCCAGGTTTGGAGCGCAGTGTGCTAACCACTGCCCCACCGCTCCTCACACATGTGCGCACTCAAGCACAGGTGTGCATGCCCCGCACTGCTCCGCTGGCTTACCGCAGGCTACGTGGCCCGCACGTGTTAATTAGTCCGGGGAGCCTTTGCTGCGTGTGGAGAGGGTTACCATTTAGCACATTTTCGGCCGTGCGTCATTACACGCGGTGTTGTTTGAAGGTTGCTGATTGCCGCTAAACGGTGAATTAACTGCGATTCTTTAAAACCGTTCCTCGTGGTGAAGAGCAGAGCAAAGTCCCGCTTCGCAGCGCCGCCAAGACGCACGTCACATCTCGGCGCCGTGGTCAAGGCCAAGATGTTATCTCGGCCGATGCTGCCGACGCCTCCGCAATTGGAAATCGCCTCCATCTGTCACATACTTGTCGGTTTACGCGCGAGTGCAATAGTCATCCCCTATATCTGTTTAATGTTTCTGTAACTTAATTTCATTGTGGTATGATGAGTCTAATCTGACCGAGTTGACTCACGCGACGGTGAATTTATTATTTAACAAATGATTAATGTCTATTCAGTACTTTCAATTTCTCACGCGGCACAGTAGTTTTTTGTGCCGATTTCTAATTTGCGTCATTGATGCACTTAACTTTTTTTTACACGTAGGAGGCTTTCACGACCAGTATTATTCATAATAAAGGTTTTTGGGTTAGATCGCATCCAGCATCATCGGGCGATTTGCCCGATGATGCTGGATGTAATTACCACTGAAACGTCGTACTCAAATTGTAAATGTTGTGATTTTATTCTCCAACACACCGGTGGGCTTGAAGTATTAACTATTTGGCGCGTTTAGTTTACGTGACGAACCTTACTGACTGTGTCGGATGGTGGAGGGTTACGACGCATTTATATTTATGCGATCTAATCCAAAAACCTTGGTTATGAATGGTTAATTTATGAATGGTTAATTTAGCATTCGTCGTTTTTGTCAAGCGGGGTCAATCTGGCAGATGCGACGCTATCCATCGTCTCTCTTGAGTTCTCACCTGGTTAAACAATTGAACGTGAAACTCTTGCCTTCTGCCAGATCCTGCAGCCGTTGTAAGGTCGACACGCGACCTTCACACTCCCCCTACCCTAACCCCCCCCACCCCCGTCCCCCAAGGCTTCATTTCTCAACTTGATATTAAACGCTGCCAACCACTGGGTCTGTGTGCCGCACATTTTGTGACTTGTCCAAAAGGACGAAGCTGGGAGGGTGGCCTACATCAGAGACGTAGCGACTGAGTGCGCAGGCAGTGCAACTGCCCTGGGCCCCACTGGGGCAAAGGGATTCGGGTGCCGAGCTAAGTAGAGAAGGAGGAGGGGGGGGTGATTAGGCAGGACGAGGGCTTCATCTCATTCTTTGTCGCGGGGGTCGTGCTGCCAACCGTGCCCCGACATTGCCCTATTTTACCCACATTCTGGCAGGACACTGACCCCACATCGTGCGGGGCGCACAGACGTTGCCACCTATTCTGCCGACATGCACCGAAAGCTGCCCAACCCAAGAGTTAAGTCTGTGGCCCGTCGCCGAGGCATTGCGCGTGCGCCGGTGGATCCTTTAGAGTAGCGCTTCTCAAACTGCGGTCCGCGTGGCCCTCTATATTTTTCTGCCCGTTGTACAACCATAGAGATTGACCAATACGTATCAGGTCGGTCGATTTCAAGGCTTATTGACATTTTACGGTGCGTTTAAGAGACGTTTAATTTTGAAAAAATATGTTATTGGCGCGTGATAGTCCCCACCATTTCCATTCAGATGGTTGGCAGTGCGCCCCGAGTCAAGAACGGCTGTGTATGAGCGCTGCGGTGACCGCGGTGGATGCTGCGATGAGGGACCCTCATTCGCATCGCTCGCTCGCTCAACGAGAAGCCGGGCGCATCCGCGTTGACCTCAAAATCGTTTCCTGCGAGGCCCTGGCCCAGGCTGCGTGGAGTCCGTGCCGCGGCTTCCGCCACCTCCGCCCTCGCCTCATCACGATCGCCCCCCCCCCCCGCCATCATCGCTGCATCTGCACGGCCTCAGCAGGCTGCTGCTAATTTGTGAGAATCAACATGGCCTGTAGAATTTAGCTCCGACCACGGGAA